CGATTTCTGTAAATAAGAAATCTTAGATTTGATACTTCACACATTCCTTAAAGGTTAGACACGCTTGTTCCTCAATAGGCTCTTAAACTAACTCGAATTATAGTGGCCGACTCAAAGATCAAGAGAATAATACTGCTACAGTTTTCAGACGATAGCACATTAACATATTAGTGTAGGATCTAAGAGGTTTCATCCGAGTGGCAAAGTCCCTGGATATGGCATTTTTATGCGTCGAATGTGAATCCCTACTAGGACAAGATTACAGTTCTAAGACAAAAAATTTGGTATTGTATCTCAAAATTTTACAATTGTTTGGAATTTTAATACAAGTTTTGAAGTTTGTTTACAAAAAAAAAAAAAAAAGGGTCAAATCACAATTTTTAAGTTTAAATTATAACTTTTTATGCTAAATTATTACTTTGTAGTAATTTGCAATCGATTCTAAAAATGTTAGAATAGATCGCAAATTACGACAAAGTAATAATTTATATTGATTGTACGGTATTGATTTTTTTTAAGGTGCGGTAGACTTCTGAATCCTGTTAAGTGTAATTTTCCATCATGAGTAATTCTATGGTACTAAAAATTTTGACACCACATTAAAAGTAACTATTTTTTGAGGTTAAGTTACACTTTTAAAAATAAAATTACAAATGTGTTATGATCATGAAGTTAATGCACACGGTTATAATTTCACATTTAAAATATATAACTTGATCTCAAAAAATAATAATTTTATCTATAACAATTACAATTTTTATTATTTTTTCAGTTATAACTTATATCTCAAATAGTGTTTATAACTACTCGGATTCGTTTTGGATAAGACTCGATTCAAGATTGACTCGTTTAAATGTTTGAACAATTTTTTAGTATCATTTAGAAAATGGGCCTAAAAAACTCGGCTCGTTTATATGTAAAATAATTGAACTACTCAGGCTTGGCTCAAATTCGACTCGTTCTAGGCTGACTCATTTTATAAATGAGCTAAACTTGAATAATTTTTCACGTTCCTTTAAAAAAACAAACTCGACCCGAGCTGGGGTCGATTATCGGCCCTCATCTCAAAATAATATAACTTGTACTCAAAATTATAAATTTAGCAAGGGAAAAATTCAGTCACACCCCTTTCTAATTTATCATATTTTCAAGAACACCTCTATTATTCAAAACATCACCGACACCCTTTTCTAATTTATATTTTAACATCACTGACATTCATTGCCGTTAAACCACCATTTCTAACAAAAAAAATATCCAAAATTTAAAAATGACCACAACATAAATTCCAAACAATATTTCTACAAAAAATTGGATTAAAATTTAAGCCGATTAAAATTCATTTTTCTACATATTAAAATTTGAGATGATTAAAATTCATTTTTTTACATATTAAAATTTGAGCCGATTAAAATTTGATTCAAACTGATTAAATTTTATTTTTTTAAAAGTATTAAAATTTGAGCCTATTAAATTTTTTTTACGTATTAAAATTCGAGCCAATTTGAACCTACCTAAGCTATTATAGCTGATTAAAATTTGCTTGAGTCAATTAAAATATATATTTTTTTTATTAAAATTTGTGTCAATTAAAATTCGATTCAAGTTAATTAAAATTCACTTTTTACGTATTAAAATTTTAGTCAATTAAAATTTATATTTTTTTAGGTATCAAAATTCGAACCGAGTAAAATTCAATGCAAGTTGATTAAAATTTGATTCGAGCCAATTAAAAAAAAAATTAATCGGCTCAAATTTTAATACATAAAAAAAATATAATTTTTAATTGACATGAATTTTAATATGTAAAAAGTAAATTTTAATTAATTCGAATCGAGTTTTAATCTATCCAAATTTTAATACGTAAAAAAATTAAAAAATATAAGAGGTCTTATTGAAAATATGTCTATCTAAAGGAGTGTTGATGAATTTTTTCTAAAATATATCATGGATAATTTAGTAAAATTTCATTCTACTTAACATTTTTAATTTGATAGAGGTATTAGTGAAAATTCAAAAAATAGATGACATATCCTTAAAAATATGATAATTAGAAGGGTGTAACTGAAATTTTTCTATTTAGCAATGGATACTGTTATCTTCCTCTGCCATCATTGTCTTCACAAAGGACAAATTGTAGTGACATCATGCCGCACGACTCTATTTAGCTTTGGCAAATCACTTCATTATGCTCTGATAGGTGACCATCACCACTCACAATCTTGACAGACAAGCATGATTCGAGCCGTTAAGCTGACGATCAATACCGAACAACGATTTCTAGTCTCTGACGGCCCAGATCAAATGCTAGAATGTTCTCATTCTCTACACATTCCATATAAATCGCTGCAGCGTTCACCTCGTGATCACTTCACACTCTATATCAAATTTTGCTCTGCACTTCTTCTCTGCTCCACAAGTTTGTAACTATGCTCTATATGCTATGATTAGTGTATATGAATGCTTTTTTATAAAATTTGTTAGCTGTTTGGATCTTTTTCTTCTTCTTTTTTGGTGATTTTCATGATATTTTTACGATTTGATTCTGATTTACGGTTTGTTTGGTTTGAGATTGATTAGAAAAAGTAATAGATAGCTATGGAAAAGTGTTATCCAACAGTGAGTAAGAATTACCAAAAGGCAATTGAGAAATGCAAGAAGAAGCTCGGAGGATTCATCGCTGAGAAGCACTGTGCTCCGTTGATGCTCCGATTAGCGTAAGTTCTCTCTCTATCTCTCTCAATTTCTCTCTCATGTATGTGTATATGGATGTTGATAGATTCCTACGCATTTGTGTATATATATATATATGTTGCTTCTATCGTAAAACTATTACTGATAATTAGTGTAAGGATTAATTGATGATCTACTATTTATTGCGTTATTAACAGATTCAAAAACGATATTTGTGTGGTTTTCAGAGAGATCTCATCTTCTCTCTCTCTCCCTCTCTCTATTTTGATCTCTCTGTCTCTCACTAGAGTTGTTGGTGAGTAACTAGAGTTGATGTTTTGACTATTCTGATTTGAGAGAATCACCCGATTACTCGATTGTTGTGTGTTATCTATTGCTGCAGATGGCACTCGGCTGGGACTTACGATTTAAAAATCAAAACAGGGGGACCATTTGGGACGATGAAGCACCAAGCTGAGCTTGCTCACGAAGCCAACAACGGACTTGATATTGCTGTGAGGCTATTGGAGCCCATAAAGGAGCAATTTTCAATCCTATCGTATGCAGACTTCTACCAGGTAATTTTTGTATGCTAAATCACTGAACTGGGAGTTTTTTTTTTTTGGCTTTTTAATTTATTTATAACCTGCTTATGTCGTTTTGTATTGTGGAATTTTGTCTATCTTTCTACATGTTGAACCTAACAATTGAACTTTTTATGTGTTTGGATCACTTGCAGCTGGCTGGGATTGTTGCTGTTGAAGTTACTAGTGGCCCTAAGATTCCCTTTCACCCCGGGAGACCGATTAGTTTTTACATAAATTTGACTGAAAAAAAATAAATTATAATATAAGTAAGCCAGTAAACAAAATTGGAATCCTTACACAATACGTGCTTTTGAGCATCCATTAAGTGCGGGGGATGCTTTTGCAACGTGTGCTTGAGCACACACAAATCAATATGTAGTGTGACATTAAAAGAATGTAGTTTGATGTGGCCATGAACTAGAGGCTACTCTAATTATGTCAGGCTTGGACTTTGGATTGGCATGGAATGAATAATTGCTTAGATAGATAAGAGAATTAAAATTTCATATGTGTTCCTGAATTAACTGAAAAGCATGTACAAAGTTCATGCATCCTTCCAATTTCATGTGCACATATAAGTGCTTGTTTCTGCAAATTCACGAACCATTTTAGAGTTTTTAGCATAGTCATAGCATCTAAAAATGATGGGAAAACATGCTTGTGCCATAAGTGCTCTGACTCCAAAGTCCTAATTTTCTTTGTGCTGATCTAACTCAGTTTAAGTTTAGCTTCATTTAGAGTTTTGTCAATTTGCAATTTTACAGACATTAGAAACCCAGTTCAGACTTGTGCCCTACATGAAGACAAACTATGTCTCGTTTCTTTCAATTGTTGCTAAATTTGTACAGCCTTTTTGTAACGATAGAGATGTTACAATGCAAGACAAATAGGAACAACAACATCCTTAATTTGGCTTGTTTCGTTCAAAATTCGGTTGGCCATAGGTTGATTTATTATCAATTTGGTTTCGATTTCTAGAGCCAAGACTTTGTGCATGTAGTCAAGCTTGGGCTGGTCAATCTCTATTTTGATACCTGTATTAGATTATGGTAGTGATTGAGTATATTTGTCTAGAGTCCATATTTATGTTCCCTAGAGTGTGGGTCAAGAACTCTGGGAGCACTGTTGGAAACTTGGATGACTAGTTAGGGTTAAGTAAAGACTTTCTATGCACTTGCATTGTTTGAGTCTTAATAAATTCTTGAGGGTTGTGCTACTTAGTCTATGTTGTTGAATGACATATGCCTCTAGGCAAAGCCTTGCAGAACAGCAGTTGATATTAGGCCAACCAATTTATTTTGAATTATTAAGGTATGAAATCATTAGAAATCAACTCAAATATTACCCATTCATGTTCATTGAAGTCTGGTAGACATAATTAACTTGCTCTTGACTTGTTAATAACTATAGTAACCAAAATGAGTACGTTGGTCTCAGGACAAAAGTGAACTACCTCCAGAAGGCCGCTTGCCTAATGCCACTAAAGGTTACTTCCTTTTTCCTGTCACTATAATCAGATGAAGTAGCTATAAATTTCAGGGTTATATAAGTCATTTAGTGTTTCTACAATCCTGCTATTTTTTCAGGTTCGGACCATCTAAGGGACGTTTTTGGCCGCATGGGCCTCAGTGATAAAGATATTGTTGCTCTATCTGGTGGCCACACTCTGGTAGGTTCAGGAAACTGTGCTGCTACATGTTTTTTTTAAAACTTCTATGGAATATCAGTATTGATATGGTTAGAGTATGTTATTTGTCATAATGTCGACTAATTTTATGTGTTTGTCGGGGACTATTGAACAGGGACGGTGTCATAAGGAGCGTTCTGGTTTTGAGGGACCTTGGACTACAAATCCTCTCAGCTTTGATAACTCCTTCTTCAAGTGAGTCTAATTTCTTTTTCTGAATATGCTTACCCAAGTTGAAGATGACTGTATCTTCTCTTCGCTTTCTATTTGCAATAAACTACTATCATAATTGTACTTGGTAATTTTGCTCCGAATTGCTCGAGAAATATACAGGGAGCAACCAATTTATTGATTTGATTCTGATTTATTTTGATAGGGAACTCCTAAGTGGAGACAAGGAAGGTCTTATCCAGCTTCCATCAGACAAAGCTCTTCTCGAGGATCCAGTATTCCACCCTCTGGTTGAGAAATATGTTGCAGTATGTAAAACATTTTGAATCATGAAGTTTTATCTATCTCTATCATTGATATGCACACAAAAGATTCTTGACTGAATGATTATTTTGCTCTAGGATGAGGATGCCTTTTTCGAAGACTATGCCGAAGCTCATTTGAAGCTCTTAGAGCTCGGGTGAGTTATTTTCTTTTTCCTTGATTATTTACTTTATATTTTTTGCATTATTGTCATCATTTGGTAATTGATTTGTATTGTATTTGAATTTAGATTTGCGGAGGATTAGCAAGGGCTCGAAGGCCGACTAGTTCTTGCCATCAGGTATCTAGAGACTACTACCATCTTCCCCATATAAGGTTTTGGCGATGGCTGTCATGATTTATATGTCTTGCAATATATAGTAATGTACTTGTCAATAGCTGTCTTTAGCACAGCCAAAATTGATATCCTACATGTATAGTCTATATTTGAACTTTGGGTTGTGACTTTGTGAACTTTATGTACATCATTTTTTCTCTCATCCTTTCCTTCCAATTGAATGTTATAAGACACTTGTTGAGGCAAATTGAAAAGTTCCTCGATTTGTAATGACACGGATCCTTGTTGTACAATGTTGACCATTTTGAGGTGCAAAAAGGGGTGAATAGATTACATGGACAATTTTGTCTTGCCGCATATGTTGTTCAATGAATGTCTAAAATTACATCTATAAAGTATTTTACATGTTTATTAAACAATATGAAACAGAATATATAGATTTCGTATTTTCATCTTACCACATATATTATGGTTCCAAGCCTAAGGAGTATTGTAATTTTGAGTCTCCATCGCAAATCGATTATGTTGATAATCTCATTGTGAAAAACAACAATATGTCAGGAAGGAACTATGGGTACTGGTATCCATGCATAACATATTAGCTCTCTCTCTCTATGTACACGCGTGTGAGTCTAAGAATTTGATTGACTTTACGTCTCCATGGAATAACTTTACTACTAATAAAATTTCTCTACACAAATGAATTCATCTTAAACAATGAGACAACAATTCTTCTCATAAGGTTAGAATATAATGGAAGAACTCTTACATCAGCTGCATCCCTATTATGTGTATGTATACGCTGCAATGGGTGCAATCACTTGCATGTCAGTTTTGCAATTGAGAAACAGATCTGCCATTGTATAATTACTTCCGAGAGCGAGAGAGAGAGAGGATAAAATATTGTATGGGTTTAGCACTGTCAAATAGTGTGTATAGTCAATAAAAAATTGTCAAATATATTAATGAATGACGGTTTTTGTTGAAAATATACCACTTTTGATTGGTTATGTATATGATTTGACTTTGTTATGTGGTGTGTTAAATACACACAAAAATTTCTACAGAGAGAAAGAGAGGAACTACTCAAAAAATATCTTATTTTCTTTCATTAAATTTTGATGTAAGTATGTAACTATAATGTTGACGGAGGTGTCCCTAGCTAATTACTTAGACATTAAGAAAAGTCGACCATATGTTATACTGTACAAAAGGACCCTCCAATATGAACTTAGGAGACCAATCTGTAGCGTTCACAAAAAGGGCCATTCATTAAATTTAGGATAAATTTCATCAATACTCCTTATAAATAGACTTAAATACAATGACGCCCCCTATTTTTTCTAAAACCTTATTGCACTACCTTGTAGTTAATATGTTCACTTCATTCACACCCCATGTCATGAACAGTCGTTACGGACACACTAAAAAATGATGGTGTTATCATTAATTATTTTTAAAAATCAATTTTACCCTCTCTTAATCCTCCCCATTTGGATATCTCTCTTTTTGTTTCACCTTATTATCTAACATCTTTCTCTTATTTCATTTGACATCAAATTGACTTTCTATTTCATCAATTTAAAATTTAATTTTATCAAATTAATACCAAATTGACCTTTAGTTTTATCAAATTAACATTTAATTTTATAATTTTAATAAATTAACACCTTTTTTTTTTTGGAGGGGGAAGGGGACTTGAACCTTTGACTTCAAAAAGGCAAAAATTTCACAAGACAAACGAGTACCATTGGACCAAAGGCCCATTGGTTTAATAAATTAACACTTAATTATTATTTAATTCTATCAAGTTAACACCAAATTAACATTCTATTTTATCAATTTATTCCATAAAATTAACACCAAATTAACAATCAATTTAATCATTTTCACATTTAATTTTATCAAGTTGAAATTCAATCCATCAAATTAAGACTCGATTAACATTAAATTGTATCTTTCTAAAATTCAATTTCATCAAATTGACATAAAGTTTACCTTTAATTTTTTCAATTTAATATTAAATAAATTAACATCAAATTAATGTTCAATTTTATCAAATCAATTAGTGGTTAGATTGTACGTGTTATAATGATCTACGTTGGAAAATGAAGATGTGGCGATACTATAGATTTTTTTTTTTTTTAGTTGATAGTTGCTATTTTAACGATCAATTTGTTTGGTGTCTGTTTGTCAGTCACGAGTACTTGTGCCCATAATTCTATATGTGAAGGAGAGGGAGAGTGGAGATGTGATAGAGACATGACTTTGGTAGTGATGACATTAGTTGTAATTGTAATGATGGAATTAACTAGATTAACTATTAGTTAATGCAATTTATTAAGATCAAGGTGAAATTTGAAATAAATTTAACTCAATCAAGGGTAAATAACTAAATTTAATACATCTTATGTTATATTGGTAAATATATGAATTTGGTAAGGGCATTAAAATAAAATCATCATTTTCGTATTAGGCTTATCTATAGGAAATGTGAATGAAATTTAGCCTTAAATTTATGATAGCAAAGCTATTCCAACTTGTTAGTTGACATCCCTCGTCATACAATTATTTTGTGAGCAATGCTATAGGAACTTTATTTTGGGACCTAATCTAAAGACTTAATCTAGGGGTTTCAATGCAATCTTTATATTAGTTGTAAGTTCTAATGTTAGATGAAGCTCACAACTAATCAAATGGTTATACATTATTATGTCCCTAAATTAGGTCATCAAATTAGGTCTAAATAATATTTTTCTTATTTTTTTACACGACAAAATGAAAATCATGTATACTTTATGGAAACAAAGTGACACTAAGATTTCTTTGCATAAGAAAAACTAATCATCGTGTAGTTGTTAAACATTTATCACCTAAGTGGTCAAGATCAACAAATTCTAGTATGTATGACATTTTTGGTAGGTTAGAACGAAGAAGTAATATGTTGAACAAAAAGGACAAAAAAATTGAAAAGAGAAAGAAATCGGCTTATAGGGCAACGGGAGTGAAACCCTGCCTGAGTGTGACTATCGCAGTTCGAATTCATGAGGGAATCCACTAGTAGGGCCTAAACGACGAGAAATTCCAGGCGTTCCTAAAGGCCGACTCGAGCTATAGCCTAACACTACGAAATTGCCAATGAAAACAACAAGAGTCCCATGAATTGAACTCTCCTTATTAACCTCAAAAAAGTTAGAGAGAACGTAGATGGGCCATTGCAAGCCATTAGACCACCACATAAAAAGGATGACTAAACTAAGAAATTTTGAATATTTTTTCATTGCCTAGATACTTGTAAAGTTTGAATTTCTTGAAATGACATTTGGGAAAGCTTAAAAAAAAAGAACTCTACTATAATGAGAATGAAGAGTAACCAAGATTAGTATGGCAATATGACATTATTATTAGAGATTGGGAATATAGTGTGCGTATATTGAATTGAATGGTTAAGTTTAATTGATAAAAACATAAGTTGTATGTGAATAAAGTAGAAAAATAAAAGGTATGAGAGAGAAAGATAGATATAAAAATTAATAAAAAAAAAATTATGAGCGATTATGAATGTTTAAAGGGTAACACATGTGTTTCACAATAAGGACGCTAAACCCCTCATATCTCATAATTAATAGTATAAATATAGATTATGTACTATGATACTTTGATTGTAAAAAAATAGTAATATATGATGTACTTTATGCATAAACTTTAATTTACTTATAATTTAATTTAGAGGTCTAATGTCAACTTATCGTTATGTTGGTTGTGTATCGTGTATTTTGTTAGAACACACTCTAATCTAATGATAATAATGACTTATTTTTTTAAACAAAATCCCAACTTTAAAATCTAAAAGCATTGCTCAAAGATAAATAAGTGATAGTTCTTAAATTACATTCAATGCATATATTTAATTTGTTATTATTAAAGCTTGCCGACAGAAATTTGTTATTATTAAATACTAATTTCCATATCCCTACACTTCTTTCTTTTTTGATTACCTTCCTCGCGTATATATAAGTCTGAATCCATTCGATTTCTAAAAAGATTGGAGGCTTGTGTTTGATTATAATTGCCACACAAATGGAAGAATTTGGATAAGTTGGGGTCCCAATGTTTTGGAACTTAACCAAATTGGCAACACAAACCAGGTAATACATTTAAGCATCACAATTATTGAGAAGAGGAAAAACTTCATTGCTTGTCTGCATCTAGGTCACTAGCCATGGCTTCTAACTGATAGACATACCATATTAAAAACTTGTTCTTGAAGGGAAGAACCTTCGGGCACCTTAGTATTGAAGAGACTCAAGCTTTATGCCTCTGAAATTGATTGAATAAGGTCACAAGGAGGTACTACGCATAATTAACATGCCAAAAAATTCATTATTGAAAGTCTTAGGTCGGAATTCCACTATCGTTACTAAAGTAGTAAAGAAAGGAAATAATTAGAATATGCGCAAAAAAAACTAGAGGTCACAGACCGGCAAATAGGAGCGGTCTATTCTAATAGAATGTGTTTTATGGTGAATAGTTTTTAATAAAGAATGTACCCGTGCCATTTTTTGATTTAATAACTATACAATAAGGAGTGAACTTTGATGATACCTAGAGCAATTCTCAAGTATGAGCTCGGGAGCGGAGGTCAGACGCACAAAACTCATAAAACCAGAGTAAAGCTCAACCCAATCGAAACAACAACAAAAGTAATAAAGAGATAGCTATTTGTCAACAGAAACCCTAGAGGCAGCAAAGAGTCATAATCAAAGCATAAAACTCTCATCCAGGAAAGATCTCCTCCTAAGATCAAGGTGGATTTCTCAGATAAATGGCGAAGATCTCGGGGCGGATCCCGTAGAATTAGGA